ACTTTCCAACTCATCCATCCATTTATTCATCCACTCCTCCATCCATCCATCCATCTTTCCCAGTCTCCTTCCCTCTACAGAATTAAGCATGCTTAGCCAGCTAGTTCCTAACACCTTGTAAGAGGGCAGCTTACTTAAATCTTAATCGCGTCACTGTGGGGTTCTGTGAAAGCTTTGAAGTTGTTTCCAGGGTTGCTTAAAAAATTTGTGCCACAAAGAACTGTGATGGTAGTAACTCAGCAGGAAGCATTGGTAACATCTAGTTTATCCCTAGGTGGGCTGTTAAGAACTAGTCTTCTCTTTCTTTTTCTAGGAAGTGCTTTGTTTGTGGTTCAGAAAGAAGTTGTTCTGATGGATTTTGTTTCTGATGGATTTACTTTGACATTTAGTATTAGTTTAGGTAAGTTGAAACTGCAGGGTACTCAAACATGGACATGGATTAAAGTATCAAAAATTGCATATTTATTCTAAGCTTATTCATGGCTTGAGTTGTTAAATTACACTGTTGTAGTTATGAAACTCCCAAGCAGATATGACCAAAATGAATCAACTATATAATATGTGAATAAAAGAATACTTATAAACTGGCCTATAAATTCTTGGGATCTTCAAGTTTCAGTGTCATGTTCACAGGAAGAAAATTAAATTACCTTGCAGTCTTCTGAAAAGCTTACTCTGTATTATCCACTATATATAATAGAATGTGATTATAGACTCTTGCTCTAGACTGCAAGTTTACCTTATCCATTCTTATACCTTAAAGAAGTATTTTATACTCTTCTAAAACATTCTGACAGATGAAATCTATTATATTTTGAAAGACTTTCTGAAATGATTAAATAGCATCTCTTGGTAACCATTACAATGTTTAAGAACAACCACTTTGTTTTTCTTTAATCTCTAATTTCTCCTTATCCATAGAACACAGAACACACATATTTTATATATATACATAGAAGATATAAATATTTAGAATTTAGAGGTTACACCATTCTTTCTGTATTCTGTAGTGACCTTAGTTATGAAATGTGTTATATAACAGTATCATTCAGAAGTTTGAGAAAGTTAGCTAAAGAATATTTACACTAAAGTTTCCAGAAAAAAAGCATTATTGTTCATCTGATGAGACAGAATAATGTCATTAGAAGATAATCCTTGGAATTTCAGTAGAATGTGAGGATACCTTTTAATCTACTGAGATGTTAAGAAAATTTAATTATTTTAATATTTTCCCGCAGGAGTAGTGATACTCTGATTACAAAGAGTTAGTTCTTACAGCAGTGGTTCTTAATACTTTTTTAGATAGTACCCTTTGATGTGCACACCCACTTACATTTTTCATGCAAGTTTAAAAGATTCACCCCCTTTCCCCATCAAAAAAAAAGAAAAGGAAAAAAAAGAAGCTTATCTGTAGTTTAAAGAAATACTCGACTAACTTTAGACTGCTTATTCACTGAGCTTCACCAGTCTTCTAATCTAGTGATTCTCAGCAGAATGGGAGTATTTGTGTATCAGAGTCTCCTGTGAAGTTTAAAAAGTTATTGTCCTCCTTGCCGCAGCCCTTCCTCTAGGCCACCTTTTGTTCTAATTGGCACCTCCCCCTTCCCCATCACTGTTGTAGGCAGTGTTTTATAATATATAACTTGGTTTCCAGAGAGAATTTATGCACTAGGAAGGGAGTGACTTGTTTGTCTTCAGACCTAGGCTAGATACAGTCAAGTGTTAAATAAAATTGGTATTTAATTAGCTTATCTATTTCCTATGATACTGAACATCTCCGGAGAAGTGTTAAAATAAATCACTGTTCTCATATTCTAACCTACCAAGTTGACATTGGAATGGAGGTTAAAGACGTACCAGGTAAAGGCACCAAAAAGAGTCTGGCTATGTAATCCAACATATCATGCCCATCACAGGCATTGCCCTCTCATTCTTGAGGCTATTAGCTATGGGTTGGAATTCAGATAAAGCTGGGAAGGAGGTGATCTTCCTCATTGTTTGGGAAGGATAAATTGAAACTTGAGACCAGAATAGGACATAATCTAATAATGATGCATCCTCAGTTTTTCCCAGTAGTAAGAATGTGTCAAGGCTTTGTTCATCCTCATCACACAGAAGCCTGCTAGGACAGCATATTAAACAAGTCAGTGAATTTTAGAATTGAAAGGTAACTTAGGACTTCCCTGGTGGCGCAGTGGTTAAGAATCCGCCTGCCAATGCAGGGCACACGGGTTCGAGCCCTGGTCGGGGAAGATCCCACATGCCGCGGAGCAACTAAGCCCGTGCACCACAACTACTGAGCCTGTGCTCTAGAGCCCGCAAGCCACAACTACTGAGCCCATGTGCCACAACTACGGAAGCCCGCGCGCCTAGAGCCCGTGCTTCGCAACAAGAGAAGCCACTGCAATGAGAAGCCCGTGCACCAAAACGAAGAGTAGCCCCCGCTCGCCTCAACTAGAGAAAAGCCCGCGTGCAGCAACAAAGACCCAGTGTAGCTAAAAATAAATAAATTAAAAAAAAAAGAAAGGTAACTTAGTAATGTAAAGATTTTCTGCTGTAGAAGCAGTGCATTGGAAAGAACGTGAAACTGGAGTCAGACGAACTTGCTTTTTGCTGCTTTTGTATTTTTAAGGAAACCACTTCTTTGATTCTTGGTTTTCAATAGAGTGAGGGCAGTAGTATCTGTGTTACACTTCATAGAACTAGTGAGAGGATAAAATCTGATTTCAAAATATTAATTATACCTTGTAAATTATTAAATTTTATACAAATGTATGACAAACAGATCACGTCTTTGCTTGCTAATAAATTAGTATCATTAATTGGCCCTCGCTCTGTCTGGTGGCTATCTTTTGTGATTATATTTCTATAATACATGTTTATAATGTGTTCCTTTTTATAAAACTGGGTTCCTAGAAACACCTTGCTTAGTAATTCTACCATTTGCTTAGTGTGTATAGATGCCAGGTACTATTATTGCAGGTCTGTGAAAATGTAAAGGTTAACAAGATAATCTTTGCTCAGTAAAGGTAAACAGTTATAGATGGAAGCTAGTGATGATTCTGGAGCTGGATTACTGTTAATATTAGAGGCAGAATGAGATTAGTGGAACAAATGTTTTTAAAGATAGCATTATACATTATTAGTTCACTTCATAATGAAAAGTATTTTCAGGAACTAACACTGAAATTACAGAAATATTTTTATTTTGGTTTTTGTAATGAAGAATATTATTTTTTTCTTCGTACGTAACCAGCTGTTGGTAAGAATAGGTATCACTTGAGAAGGATTGAACTTTTCTGTGTATGTGTGACTCTTGGATGATGATGTTACCCTAACTTTTCTTGATATAATTTATTTAAAATAAGTACTATTAGAACATCTTTGATTTAGAATTTGGTAGGAACTAATAAGCTTGGTAAGGTTTAGTGAGAACAATTTCAATTCGTATGTACAATCATAGAAAAGAAGAGCTGAAAGGGACCTTACAGATCATCTTATCACTGATTCTGAAACACTTTTTTAGAAGGTCAGTAGACTTGTCTTGTTCTGCTGAGGTGCATTAGGACCTGCTGAAGAGGGACATTGCTGGGGGGGTGTGGCCCAGTGGGTATGCCTAGACCGCCTCCTCCTTTCAACCAGGGTGGCCCAATGATATGTGTTATATATTGCTGATAAATGTAAGTTTTTTTCTTTAAGTAGTTTTTATGTTTGAAAATGTAAGTTAGATAACTAGTTTTGTTCCCTTATTTTTATGACAAAATTACAGGGTACCAGAGAATTAAAGTTAACTGGAACCCTGATTTCAGAACTTCACTTCAGCATTGTTCACTTATATCGTACTGCCTCCATGTGGCTTTAGTAACTTAAAAATCCTATTAAGCCAAGTTAAATGATGAGCAGTCAAGACTTTGTATGACTGGATCTGACATCAAGATTTGATTGATGATGTTAATATCAAGACCTGGCATGATATTTAAGTGAAAGTGATTTGATATTTTTGCTTCTTTTAAATATAAAGTAGTAGTTTCTTTGAGTTCTAAAAAAATGTTCATAATTGAAACTCAAATAAGTTTTTATAATTTTCGGAGTTTATTATTTGAACGCTGCCCTTGAACTCTTAAAACATTAAAGACCTCTTTCTTAGAGGATAGGATATGGTTCATTTATGGTCTCATGTGCAGATAAGTTAAATAAAGTGATTAAGGGCATGAAATTGTCCTTATCTTTGAGTTTCTAGATGAATTCTCATTAAGTAAGAGTAAATATGTATTTAGTAAATATGCAGTTTTTCTGTAAAGTGAGTGTTTATAGAGCTTTTGTTTGTCCTTTGGCATTAGAGAATTAACTTACTGCCTGACTTTTCACTTAACAATGAAATTAAAACAAGGTGATTTGTATGATTTGTAATGGCATCTAATGAACAGTTGCATTGTGTGTGAAACAAATAGAAGATCTGTTTTTTAAAAATAAATATGCATTTAGTTAAAATTGATATGGCCTTGACATTTTTGGCAAGATGAATTTGTTAGGATTCTTCTTTAAATTTAGAATTCTCTAGCATAAACATAGAATAATAGCAAATTGTACCTCTCTTCCTATTAAAAAATAATAAGGTATTAGTAGTTTTAAAAATTGAGATGTAATTGACATATAGCATTATATTAGTTTCAGGTGAACAATATAATAATTAGATATTGGTGTATATTGCAAAATGATTATCACAGTAAGTCTAGTTAACAATTACTACGCAATAGTAATTTTAAAGAATTTTAATTAACGAGCATTAAACAGAATGTTTAATGACTGCAGATTAGAATGACTTGTAGAATCTATTTACAGCCAACTATTAGGGTACTGAAAACTTAGATCAGCATAATCTATCCCTTTTCCACAACTTCTGGTAATTGTTTTGGTAGATTTCTAAAAAAATGATAAAGTGATTATTAAGTCAAATTGATGGTTAGTCTCACGCTGTCTCTTCTTAAAATTATTTGCAGGAGAGGGCTGCTCACAATTTATATGGCCAACTTGGTGAGTAATTCTTTTTTTTTGCTTTCAAGGTTTTTCCATGTACTTTTTAACCTTTTTTTGTTTGTTTTTTTGAATCAAGTTCCCTTAGAAAAAAAAAAGAAAGAAAACCTACTTAAATTTGAGAATATTTTCTGTCTCTGTTTTAAAGGATAGACTTAAATGTTTAAAATAGCTTTGATGCTCTCTGGTTTATTCCTGTCATATATGACTGAATTGCACTTACTTCAGGAGGAAGATGATTCATGGCCCTGTGTCCTTCATGACTCTTTTTTCCTTAAAGATTAGATCTTCATCTTTGATAGGGTATATATCTATATCTGTATATGTCTCGCTATATATCTTTAACTTCATTTCATACTCTGCTTCTATTGCTAACTTCTTGTGGCAAGAAAGATTTAAGGATGAGCTTTTATGATGCACAGTTTTCTTGGAATCAGAATAGCATTCATTCTATCTAAATACTGAATATATTTAATACTATAATTAGCTAGGCTTCTAAATTTCTAAGTTTTCAGAATTGAAATTAATGTTGTCTAGTCTGATATTTACTGTAAATATATAATCAAGGTTATATGCTTTTCATTGTCAAGTTCATATTTTAAAAACATATTTGTATTAAAACCTTTTAAAGTTGTTTAATGGAATTGATAGGCGACATTGAAAAATTCAACTATGGAAAGATGAATTAATTATGTGTTTACCTAAGGATAGGTTTTTGAATTTTGTAACAAGGGAATGTAGTTCAGGGTTGTATTCAGCAACTTATTTCAGTTTCAAAATGTTTAATTTTTGCTCTGTTCTTATCATCTGTCAGTTACTGTGCTATATGCTGGAAGGCAAGATGAAGACAGTCCTTGTACTTACGGAGTTTGCTGTCTAGTGGAAAAGTCACAATAGAAATAATGTTTGAAAAGGACTGGAAGATGAATTATAGGGTGCTGTGGAAACCATAATAGTAGCACCAAACTATGCTAGGTGCTGCTTTCCTTTCTGATTTTGTAAAAAACTTAAAAATATTACATCTGCATGCTAGAATAGATTTGAGTTTTAATGCATTTTTTTTTCTTTTAGTCATACACATGCTTTTCTATACTACCACATGGTGATACTTTAATACTGAAATACTATATGTATTTACACATTTATCTTAAATTCTAAGTAAATTTCGACAAACTTTTTTTGTGTTGCCTTGTTTAGATTGGAAATTCCTGGAGAGAAGATATTTGATTTTGATTAATATAATCAATGTTGGAAAATGCCCTAAAAATACTGTATTTTTTTTAAGATTAAACTTTTTATTTTGAAATAATCATAGGTTCATATGCAGTTGTAAGAAATAATAGAGAGATCTCATGTTACTCTCTACCCAGTTTCCCTTAATAGTATTATTTTACAAAATTGTAGTAGTATCAAAATTAGGATATTTACATTGATATTTACTGTAGTCAAGATAGAGAACATTTCCTTCACAGGGATCCTTCATGCTGCCCTTTTGTAGCTACATTTACTTCCCTCTGACCCTTACCTCCCATTCCTCAACCTCTGGCAACCATTAATTTGTTCTTTATTTCTGTAATTTTTTAAATTCTATAATCGTTTCAAGAATGATGTATAAATAGAATTATATAGTACATACTATTTGTTACTAGCTGTTTTCACTCAACGTAATTCTCTGGAGATTCAAGTTGTTCGGTATATCAGTAGTTCATTCCTTTTTATTGCTGAGTAGTATATCATGGTATGGCTGTACTAGTTTATTTAACTGTTCACCCATTGAAGAACATCTGGCTTGTTTCCAGTTTTTGGCTGTTACAAATAAAGCCGCTATAGATGTTCATGTGCAGGTTTTTGTGTGAACATGAGTTTTTATTTCTCTGGGATAAATGCCCAGAAGTGTAGGTGCCAGGTTGTATGGTAGTTGAATGTTTAGTTTTTAAAGAAACTGATAAACTGTTTTCCAGAGTGGCTGTACTATGTTGTTTTGATAGTGTTCCCAATTTAGAATAAACCTTTGAATCTCTCGATCTTTCTAAATGGGAAACTTTTTGTGTTAACTTAACATTAACATTTGTCTGTTAAGTAGATTTGTACTTTTTATGTCCAGATTAATAAATGTCAGTATTAGGCAAGTTTTTCAGAAAGTGCAAAATATGAATTGGTCTTTTATCTTTTGTCAGCCAGGGTCTGTAATTTAAAAATTTAATGAGATCAAAGGCTTTTACACATGGATTTTTTACATGGATTTTTGACTATGTCCAAAGGAAATGAATTTGTACATGATACATTCTGGATACTAATGATAGTCTTAGTATCTTCATCATCCCTTCCTCTGAATAGAGCCTTTTATTTATACTATTGCTGTATAACTATTACTTAACTAAGAGGGTGGTTAGTGCAGAATAGGTAAGAAATACTTAGACTGAGTTTAACCTTAAGAAATAACTTTGTTCTGTAACTCTATTATGTTGCTCACTAAACTAAGTTGAGATTGTTGGCTTATTTTAACATCAACGACAAAATTTCTAAATGTTGGGAGGTTTTATTTTAAGAAAATTATACATTGTATTTAGGTATGTGTTTCTGATTTGGAAAGTAGAGAAAAACATGAAGAAGAAAGTAAAAATCATCTGTAGTTTTACTGTGTAGTAATTACTAACATTTTAGTGTTTATTTCTTTATTCCCTTCCCTTTCCTCCAGTGTACCTATATAAATACACAAACATAGATGCACATTCACATTACACATTATATACCCGTTAAAAAAAAAATTGGGGGCATACTGTTTTGTGACTTTTGTTACTATGCCATATAGTTTTGATTGCTTATGATATTAAATAATCATTTTTTGAGGGTGTAATCCTACCTTTTCACATACTTCTTGGTTATATTTTCATTATATTGGGTTGATTTTATACATATACACATATATACAGTCCTACTCAAAATGTTGGGTGACAGTAAAATACTCTTTAGTTAGTAATAATATCATTTTGTTAGTTTTGGCTGTGACAGTTACCCACTCCTTATTTTGGTCAGGAAATTTCAAAGGCATTGCTATGCCTTTGAGTGAATACCTGATAGAAAAATATGCAAAACTGGTTTCGTATTACTTTTATCATCTTTGTCTTTATTTTTATCAGTGAACACTTACTGAGTGCAGAGCACTTTGTTACGTATTTGGACACAAATATAGCCATTATTCTGTCCTTGAAATTAATTTAGTTGAGGGAATAAGGTATATCTAGATTTGGATTTAAAATGAATAGGTAATAAATAGTCCAAGATAGTATATTCATGTCAAATATATGATTAGACAGTACAGTCTTTAGAACTGTAGAAAAGGGAGTTATCTTTGGGCTGGGGAAATCAGAGAAGATTTTATGAATTACGTGGGACCTGAACCTTGAAGAAAGGAGAGGAATTGGAGGTAGCTCCATCTTAGAGATGTGTCACTGGTGATCACAGGACAAAATTGTTGCCTTTCCAAGGATTGCCAAGTTGAGGCCAAGGTTTAGGAACAAAAAAAAAGAATAAGCAACATTTGCTGAGTATCTACTCTGTTAGGCACTCTTGGTGAAATTGGGGTTACCAAAATAAACAAGGTATAGTCCCTGCTTCCGAGGACCCTATATTTTACTGAGGGAGAGAGAGATGTAAGCCTTATCTCTGTTTTTTAGCATTGGTAGTTGTCTCAAAACAGAAAACAGGACAGTGTTTATACTATGTAGTTGTGAATATATGCTCTGTTTATGTTAGTGTTGTAGGGGGCAGGTAGAGAGCTACATACTCTAAATAAGGGACATCTCTATTAATGCTTTTGTTATTATAAGATCTTCCCTTGGGCTACTCTTATTACTCATGATATATATCAGGAAGCCCGGGTAAGTCTCAGTTATTAGACTTAAGTAATTTATAGCCTTAGCTATAAATGTCATAAATTATAATTAAACTAGCAGTTTTAAAGACTACAAAGTCTTACAATTTAATATAATTTAATTAATACCCATGTGAAAATGTCATTGATTTCCTGTTCTATGTTAACAAATTTTAGAAAGAAAAGTGTACAATTTTAAAAATTGTATAATTTTTTAAGATTTTTAGCATTGTTAGATAATAAGTTATTAAAGGGCAAAATGTATAAAAGGTACACAGAAAAGGTATGAAATAAAGAATTAAATATTTTCTCTAGCATTTGCCCAAGATATGGCTAGAAGATGATGGAAGTGTTTTCCTGGGGCTAATATGCCAGAGCCAATTACCCACAAGAACATAAGCTGCTAGCATTCAACTTTGCCACAGTATGATTTAAAGGAGAATACATAAAAGTTTGCATTTACATGATTTCCCTTTATTTCGTTGGTTGTAACAATGACTGAGGATTCCAGTTTTTCAAAATTTATCATTTGCTGCTAATAGTTATTTAGGATGTGCTGTCAAGTTCTAGTTCATTTCTGTTTCATTTAATTATAACTTATGACATTAAAAAATCTTTCTATGTTAACTCCCTTTGAAAACTTCTCTCTGCAGTTTGCTTTATGCCACCAAGCATTCAACAATGCATGCATTTTCAAATTGTAAACATATACCTACAGGCTTGTCTCTAGCATTTGTTTTTTAATTTTGGACATGCAGTGTCTTTGATTAAAACATCTGTATTTAATTTTTCAAACATAAGGTTTGAAAATGTTGATTCATAAGTTTTCTTGTAAGACCACTTCAATTTAATTAGATCCAGCAGGTATTGATTATACATCAGCTATGCTAGGCACATGAAGATACAAAAGAAATACAAAACGGATTGTAAGCTAGTTGGAGAAATTTGACAGATGAACTCGAAAAATAATAAACTGAAAGTATTAAATTCAAAAAACGATTATAAATACTGTCTCTTAAATTGCTCCCCTAAGCCTTCCTTTTGCAGCAAATGACATCAACCATCCATCCAGTTGCTCAGGCCAGAAACTTAGGAGTTTTAACTCTTTTCTTCACCTTATACTCGG